CGAAATCACAAACCGGTCGAAAAATCATTCGGCCAATTTTTATCAGGTGTTCCAGGAATTATGAAAATAGCAGTAAAAAAAAAAAAAAAAAAGCCGGCCGGCCAGCCGGTTCTATTTTAAAATTTCATGTTATGAAAACCAAGTAATTAAATTTTCTAAAATCAAAATTTTAATATCTATAAATATTTTGTAAAAAAAACTTCAAATAAAGGTCTTTATTGTATTTATATATACTATTATTGGTTTTTTTTTATATTCAAATTCTTTTTGCCAAGGCCTCACCTTTTAAAACCAAAAGAAAAAAAAAAAAAAAATTCTTTTTGCTATGGTCTTTTTCAATTAATCGACTTAGCAGAAATTCAATGCAAGGGACATAAAAGTTTAAATATCTAAAAACACGTTTACGGAGACTATCCCATAAAACGGGAAGTTCTGATTAAACAATTCTACATCGTTTTTTCTGACAGCTTTTTTTTTTCAAAAATACCTAATTTCATTTCATCGAATCTCGGATCTATTTTTGTACAGCGTGGTGTAGAAGTACGGTACAGCTGTATCAATTTCTTTTGATTTTTATCTAAAATAATTAACTTTTAAACATAACACATTTTGAATAGATATCAAGAAAATTCGTTTGTCAAAACAAAAAATTTTTTCGTGCATTCAATAAAAGCAAATCAAACGAACGACTATTTCATTGTAATTTATAAATAATTTGAATGGTGTCTTAAATCACGTTGGATTTTAATTTATAAAAATAAATAGCGAGAACGAATATTTTTTCTCTCTCTCTTTTAAAATATGTAGCAATAAATATTTATGCATAAACATGTATGAGAACTTTAATAATCATTGTCATAATCACTATCATAATCAGTATTATAATCAGTATTGTCGTCTCTAATAGAATTTGGTGCATTCGCCTCGTTCGCCTCGTTCGCCTCAATTTCTTCCAATTGTTCATAAACTCTATTCTCATCATGTTCTCTCAATCTCGCGTAATCAATCCACTTTTAATGATTAGTTTAAGCAAATTAATATACAAAAATGACAATATAAACATGTAACAATAAATAATAAATCGTATACAAACCAAGCCAGATTTTAAGAATCCTTCATGATTATAAATTTTAAGATAAACGTCATGGTATACCAATTTACCATCTACTACTTTTCGTTCAGGTACAACAATTTTATAAGGTAAACAATACTCGACCCATTTATTTTTGCGAGCGAGATTAGTATACATTTCAGGTTGCGGCATATGTTCATATCTTTGTTCATCATGAATGGCTGTTTCAGCATCAATTTCATCCTCTAACTGTTTATAGATCAAATAATGCTAAGTTGAATGTTATGTATATACGACTAAATAAAAAAAAAAAAAAAACATTTGAGAATATCAATACTTGCTCTCTCGATAACAGTTGTGCTGAAGTTTAGGTTTCGAACGTTGTTCGGGTGATAACGTTGATAACGTCGTCGATAATTACCTTCTTCCATTTTTAATCGCCATACAACATCGTACGTGCCAGGTAGAACGGATTTTAGATTAGACGAAACCTTTAGGGAAAAATTTTTTTTTTTTTTTCTTTTAGAATGACTATAAATGTTTTAAAATTGCTTTGTCACAAGAAAAAATCATGCACACGTCAAACCACCAAACGTATTCTAAATAAACAGCACTTCCAAATTCACTGTTTATAGGTAATACACGTAAGCGAATACACAATAAAGAATGTAAAGAATGTCAAATGAAGACTTGCACACCTTTGTGAATCTTCGATGGTTCGCCAATGATGAAGTGTTCCTCCTCCATCTTGACAATCCAACCATGTAACGCAACGTTCTTTGGCAATAAAATTGATGTGTTTTGCTATATATAACAATTTGTCGGCAATAATAGAAGTTATAAATTCAAATAAGTTTACATGATAATGCGGTGGTATGTACTTGTTATTGGATACATTGCGATCAATAACTGATTACAAGTGAATATAAGATATACAATAGGTCTACTATCAATTAGAGATGTAAACGGCTCGACCCGACTTGTATAATGTAAAAATTAATTAATCCATAGACTGAACGAGCCAGTTGCATCTCTACTATCAATTTAATTTGCTTGTCGTTTTATGAGTGATAACGGCCTTATATTATTACAATAACGATAATATTATACAGGTTTGCACCAAACTTCGACATATACATACATACAGATTAGTTTACCTTAATTGATGTATATGTTGTACATTCAAACTGGAATTTGTCCTGGATGGGAATTTTGATATTTCCGAAATTCTGTACGGTCAAAATTCCTATCCAGGAAATTCTAATCTTGGGTATATATAACATGTATATCGAAGACGTAGAGTATCAATATGAACAGTAAATAAGCATGACTAATTACTTACATAGTCTCTTATAAAGTCTTTTCCATTCGCTGTGTTCACTAACGGTCACTTGCTGTTCATTGCTGTTACTTTCTACTGAAGGAGTATTCAAAACAAGATTTGCTACAAGATATAAAAATTATTTTCAAAATAAAAATAAATCAATAAAATCATAAATTTTAAATTTTTTTTTATACCCAAACCATAAACGCTAGAAACAATAGTTCCAAAAATACTTGGTCCGGATTGATTGTCTGAATTGTTCGTTTCTTGAACTTTAGAAGTATCCTCATCCGGGATCATGTTTTTTTGTTCCTCAGAAATACGACTTGCAGGAAATTGATTAATACAAATTGATCGCCAAACATAATCATCTTGGGTGAATGACAAAAGGTTTTTGTTAACCTGTGATCAATAAGAAAAACAGAGAATGCAAAATGTAAATATACAAGGTAAATGAAGACCGGAGACCGAAGAACCAACGTGGATCAGTCCGACAACATTTTCGGAGCATATTGTCTGATCAACCAATAAAATCCACAATTTGCGGATACACCCACAAAATCTCACTTTCTCTACCCGTAATCGTAATGTTCTTCGAACAATTATTAGTATATCAATACATTTATAATAACTGATAACATTCTTAACATACCAAAGAAACAGAACAAAGATCTTTCGCAGGTAAAAAAGTAAGAACCTTGACTACAAGTTCATAAGGAATTTTGGAAAAGATATCCGGCATTTTTAAATATTTTTAAATTTTTAAAATAGTACGTAATAGCACATTCGGAAGAATTAAGTATATCGATATTCTGTAAGTGACTTGTGTGTCTTGATCATTTATATACCAAAAATAGGGTTCATAAAAGCAGTAAATCATATGATAATTAATCAATTAAATTTGTTAAACCTGATGAAGCCACAAATTATGGGGTCCTGCATATAGTTAGTGTTTTGAACCGTCAACCGAAAGTTCAACTGGACAATAATATATGGATTTAGAATTAACCAATTCAACTGTTTTTGGAATTTGACCTTTTTTTAAATCCCTAAATTTACATTTCAAATTACGAATTTACTACGTAATGCTAAATCCTAAAAATGAGTACGTAATACCGAAACAAAACGGTTTTCTTTTGGTACGTATTACTCATTAATTTTTTGGATATTTTTGGATAAAAGTCTCGCTACACGAGCAAAAAATGATTGTAAAAAATATTTAGTGTAGCGCAAGATAAGAAGAGAAAAGATGCGCTGCTACGTAACCGCTCAAAAATTTTTTTCATTAGTCGAACAGAATGTCTATATAACAAATTGTAGTCTATTTATTTTTTTTTTGATTGCTAAGCTGATCGTTCGTAATAAAATCAAAAAGATCTGACGTAAGTTAAGTATCCCTAACCTGTTTTGGTAAATTCATATGCTTTGCCAAATATTGCCTATCTGGGTTTACTAATTCCTCCCATTGGATTAGGGATGGCAAAATTTTTACATATCGATATCTTTACATATTAAATCTTTCATATTTTTACATATTCTTAATTTCATCATAAAAAATAATTCCAGTTAAATACAAATATGATTATCGTTATATCAAATAGAATAGTTTCAAATTTAATATTTACTGTATTTTTTGACATTGTTACTGCAATTGCAGATGCCTTTCAAATTTTTTTAAACAGTCATCGCTATACTGTAAATTACAATGCGAACGCAATTAAATGTGATCTTTCAAGACATGTTTCATTAGAATTAGCTGTATTATCTTGAACAATTTGTTCGAAATTATTTATTTTTTATTTTGAATAATATGATTTAAGCTATTTTTTTCTTAAGCAATTTTCCACCGAAATTGTTAGTCGACCAAACCGATTATTCGCTACGTAATATAAACAATGAAATACTTTATAGTTATTTTTAATCGATATTTTTATTACTTAATAATCAGTGTTGGGCAAATTAGTGGTCGACCAAAAATTTACTGGTCAAATTGGTCAAATGGTCAAACTGGTCGAATTGGTCAAATCTATTATATAAATATAATATATATATAATAAATATTTAAATATACTATTTGACCAGTACAGATCCTTTGACCAGACCGGTCAAATTGGTCAAATTGGTCTAGTGATTGAACCCGTCAAAAAAAAACCCACCCGGGTCACCCGGGTGGGTTAAAAAAGAAACCCGTCGGTGAGTCACCTGGGTAGAAATAAAGCATTACAGCTGTTTTCATAAATTCCAGAACAACTGAAAAAATTGCCGATGACCGAATCGATAAGCTTCCGAAGTCGGTTACTTATTGATTCAGACTCAGTAACTAATCAATTC